TAAGGTAAACCATGATTCCTTAGAGAAAAACACATTTTCCACTACATAAGGGACCCATTGTATATGTTTGGATGTTTTCACACCCCTCTAGAAGCTTTAAGCATTTGTTTTTGAGACCGGAGATTTTCTATTAATTCGCAGCTCTTCCTTAGAATTCAGATCTGTGCATCGGCTTCCGAACTTTTTTTATAGAACCTAAGTTCCGAGGTGTTTATTGAGGTCTGCTTTGATTTTGAGAGATGTAATATCTCGCTTTCACCTGACAATTTGACCTAGAGACCGACGGCCTCTCTCAGACAACTTCGACTTTTGTGCAGACCTTTGCTTCGCTGGTGGTGTTTTTCCTTACTTTTCGTAGGAATTAATCACTTTTGAGACAATACCGTGTGAATGGTTAAGCATTTAGAAAGTTCCTGTCATACTACCGCCTGCCATACGGGCACCAACAATTTACTTTCATTAAAAGTCAGAGATGTTTTCTATTTTTTATAAGACTAGTCACCAAAGTTTCTAAAAATATCTGTTGATGAATAAAATATAAAATAGCTCCAATAATAAACAATAAAACGTGTCAAGTTTTTATTGTTTATAGCATGTTCAAAAATCATTATCTCAAAATGTTAGGCATTTCCCTTATTTTGTGCAAACCCTGTATGTCTAGTCTGTTCATGAGCAAATTCAAATTCGAGACGTTAGCACGTCAGACCGATGAACCAATTTCCAAGAAAACAACGCCATAAATGTTCTATTATCTTCCGTATAAATAGATATTACTTGTTAACAATAATGCTGAGACCAAACGCTCACTGAATCTCGATAATAATTGACACCTTGGTGGAGAATAACGTCCAGACTTTCAACTCTCAAGAATCTAAGAAGCACATGGTCGTCATGTTTGCACAATAACCTACCTGCGTCTCACTGGACCGTGGTCAATAGATGGGCTTTGACTATGAGTGAACACATGGTGGGATGTAATTAGAGCTGACCACATGGCGGGCTGTCGTTAGGGCTGACCACATGGTGGGTAGTGGTTAGGGCTGACCACATGGTGAGTAGTCGTTAGGGCTGACCAGCAAAGAAGAGTAATTAGTAGCATATAGATTATGCCAGAATCCATTTATTATGATCCAGATTATGCCAAAATAATTTCAACGGTATTACAGTAAAATATAGATGGCTGTAATTTCAAGCGTTCACGCCCAGCAGCCAGTGGCATTTGATTGAGGCGGTTCCTAAGTGCGCAGCTAAGAGAACAATCGTCAGTTGTGGAAAGCTCGGCTGCAGAAGGCCGGATCCTTTGTGAAGCAAGTCACGATAAGTACAAGAATCTGCAACAGGCCATGGGCCCATTTCTTCAGAGCCGACACATCTATTCTATTCGATGGAAAATATATCTCCGGTGCCGTTTGATTTTTGGACCTTCAAAATACAGCCAGAAAAGGAGATGTGATAGAAACCTTCAGCGACCAACATTCTTGACTGAAAAAAAAAATATTGCATCCACATCACAGTGCTGAAATAAATTTATTTGAAAAATGCGATAAATGATATACATATACCGAACTCCTTGGAAGTCGCGTAGCTACTTCAAACTATCGTCAGTCATGAAAAGATCCGGTCAAATGACACGATTTTAGATCTTCTGTGAACAAGGCACGAAAAGGAAAAGAATCGGCGACAGGCCACATCAGGCTTACGCTTCAGCGCCGACATCACTATGTTATGTTATGTTATATGTGACCTGGTCATAGCCTAGCCTGATATTAATGCGATCAATTTAGCCCATTGGACGAATGAGCTTTTATACATAAAAAACGTAATTTGAAACACGATATATATGTACAGCTGGATGCTTAAAGGCTATTTATGTGAAGACTAATTTTAATTTCCACGAGCAAGATCTTCCTCTTCACTGACTGTATATATTGCAGTTGCAAGAACTAACCGCACCGGTGCAATATTTTCCACTAAACATGCGCTTGGGAGCTGCCTCCGTCAAGCATCAGTGCTGCTCGGCGGTGAACTCTCGAAGTTATTGCACTCGATAGCATTCAAATACAATTTCATTCAAACTGCATTAGAGGAATGCCATACATCCATGATCTTAACTTGTTACTTTTTGTATTATTATTTTTTTCATAGGTCTCAGTTGATTATATGCCTTCCATGGCTACAAAATATATAAACATTTTAAACCTTTTTGGTGAGTCGCAGACGAGCGGCAGTCCCCAAATAAATATTAGAACAAAAGTGGAAGTAAGTAATTAAATTTATATGTCACAGAGATGATAAGTAGTTCACTAATCGAAATTCATGCTTGGAGTTTGCTGTGCGACAAAGACATCGTAAATTTGTTAGATTTTTTTCAACATTTTATGAGTAGTTGAATCTAATAACAGGATTACAAACAACGTTGAATTGTGTTAATAACATCGCTTTGAGTTGGTGCCCATAAGTGGGCCAATATGGTTAGAGTTTAAAGAACCAAGATCTCTAGAGAAGAGAGAGAACCTCATAGAACCTCTAGAGAACCTCAGTCTACCAGTCCACAGCATAGACGTTTGCCTGACAGACAGGAAATCTTTCCAAGTCGAGTCGTCATCATCGTGCAGCTTCCCTTGACCTGCATACAAGAAGTTTGCCTCTGCAGCTGGGTCATTGATATCGACGCTTTTAACATCGGTATCAGCCAAAAGTATTTGCCCTCGTATCATGGATATGTTGTTGATCTTGACCATGTCAACGTAGAACCGCCTGTCACGGAGCCCATCACAATGGCTCTCTGTGGAGTTTCCTGCCGAGTCACAACTCCAGCAGGAAGGACATCTGGGCCTCGAACATGACGGCAATCAGGCGGCAGTCGGGGATGACCTCGGTGGAGTTGGGTTTCCTGCCGAGGCACAACTCCAGCAGGAAGGACATCTGGGCCTCGAACATGACGGCAATCAGGCGGCAGTCGGGGATGGCCTCGCAGCCGCCTTGCTGGCGGCGAAGCCTTGCACTTGAGTGTCAAAACGGCGCTAAATCACACGATCNNGTGCACGAAGCACCGCGCACGCCGTATGCACGAAGCACCGCGCACGCCGTGTGCACGAAGCACCGGGCACGCCGTGTGCATGAAGCACCGGGCACGGCACTCGCCCGAGGGAAGAATAATTGTCAGGCATTGGAATAACCAAATATAAGTAAATAACTTCATTTAAGATTTGCCGATCTACAGTATGTTCGAATTTCGTGAAACGTCTAACTCACTCAAGCTCGAAGTTGAGACGCTGAAATCACAATTGATTTTTAATTTTCTCCTTTTGCTATCGCAAGCCATTAGACTATTTTTCCTCTCAGCACAGTCGCCGAGAGAAGATGTTCGTCGTACGGCTTTTGTGTTCAAGGACTTTAAGTAGACGGTTGTTCAATACCGTTGACTCGCTTACTTGTTGTCGTCATTTTGTAATAGGCAGTGTACATTTTGCCTGTAATCGACCAATGTATAAACTGATCGTTCGGTCTTTAGCCTTCGTTAGGGGAGAGAATTTTTTAGTTTGGGGAACAAATGTCAAATTTGTACTAGACTGAAGCGTGGTGTCCAGACACATTTTTTAGCTATGTAAAAATATGTGTTATCTGAGTATGAAATTGTTGTAATTAATCGCCCTCGCTTGAATTGAATATGTTGCGCGAGGCTTGGTTCTTGGGTTCTTGTGTGTCCTCGTAAACCAGTTTACCACTATATAGAGGCCTGCGTAACCTTACGACACTTCCGCTAACCTGCACCTCCTGAACGTCGAGATTTTCTGTTTGATGTTGGCGCAGACCAAATGAGCTGGAGCCACGTTTTGTTTCATCGAAGTGATAATACTTTCAAGCGCAATGATGCTCAAAAGATGAAGAGCGAACAAATTAACCAGCAGCGTCGATCACAGACGTCACCGTAGTCGCGGGGTTGTACAGGGATCAATTTACGAGCTGTGGAGCGTGTCATCATTACCACCGACATATTCTGTTAAAAAATACAATCAATAATAGACAAATATAGAGGCTACTGATAATTACTACGAATACAAATATTTACCTAATTTCAAGAAAAATTGGCAGCAGTTTTCACATTCCTGTAGTTGCTGAGCAAATAAATTTTTTGACGCGAACCAAACTATTCACAGGCACTGAACATTATTTTCAATCCGTCGCCCCACAAATCATGTCTATATGAGGCAAACGAAGCATAAAAATTTACACGATTTGGATCTGCTCTATTGAAACATCAAATAATTGTTATTAGACATGTTTACGCCCACTTCAACATTACCGATGATCAAATCCCTCAGTTTTATTTCTGCCGGACATCGATTGATAGGAATAGTATAATTATTTAAACGGATTAAGGTTGCCAAATGATGAACTTTTTAATGAGACACATTGTGAGTCATATTACGTACTAATTTTTCATGGAAATACTAACTACCGATTTATCAATAATATGAAGCTATACCCTTGCATATGATGTTGCTTTCACTGTCATCAAATTTCCATCAACTGAGGGTCGGTCATCGCATTCATATATCGTAAAACACTTATAAACTACAACACAAGTGATTATTTGGAGCAATTATTTGCCGACTTACTATTCTAGGACAATAATAAATTTATAATGATGAATGCGGAGATACGGCATTACTGTGTATGCAGAATTATTTTATCCAACTTGTGAATTTTTATCTTTAATTTTTTCACATTTTTTCATTTCTTGATTCGTGGAATAGAAGGAATGAATTTCAAACAAATTCTGTCTTACTGTATACCTGTTCCGCGAACTGCTGTTATATTGGGCCATGATATGGATCAATAAATCAGCTACTTCTGTTTGTCGGTGCACATCTTGTCATGGATTTGTCCTTCACTCTGATGTAAACCTATTGAGGATGTAAGCAGTATTATAGTACACGTTATTAAGAAGAAGGGATGGAGACGACGGTCTACGATGGAAGGGATGGAGACGACGGATGGAGAAGAAGGTGTTCATGGAGACGACGGACTACTTGCGGTGACACGTAGAAAAGTTTACGCTACGATGGCCCTTTTTATTGTCCTGACGTGGCATGACATACAAGATCGAGCCTCCTGGGATTTAGTGACACGCAAAACTGGCTGATACAGCTTCTCCAGTTACTTTGTACTGTTGTGGATATAATAATTCTATAATACAGTGTCATTCTATAATTTATAGGGCTCATGATATGAGCCCTATCAAGGCCTATGATTGGGCTCCCTATATGAACCCCTACGATAGGGCTCATGCCATTGATAGTGTGAAAGACATACGAGCGAGAGATCACCAGGAGGAGGCTGCCACCAAAATTGAAGTGTTAAGAATATGCGCTGTTTACATGGATATATTTTGCTAAATTATCTGTACCAGCCGTGAATAACTCAGTGAACAATGAAAACACAAATTTTGGTGCTGAAATGGAGGTCGCCGGTGTGCAAGGCCGAGAACCAAGTAGAGACACTTGAAAACACTGCGATAAAGAAGCATCCAGTAAATTTAATATTTTCACGTGAATTTTAGGCACTTAAATTATTTTAACTCTATTGGAATGGATACTGAACTCCCTGCAGAAATGTGAGATGATGGGCAGGCTTTGCTTTGGATACTGAAACCGATCAAAAATCTTTTAGGTTTTTTTTATCGGTGTTCAATCTCACTAATAATTCGAAATTTGCGGAAAACATTTGGCTTATCTTATACTGTAACGAGCCTCGGCTTCATATTGTGCACGACTTGCAACGAGCTGCTTTTCCTTTGCCCATATTGCATGTTAGAGCTCGTGCTTGTGTGACTGAATCTTGGAACTGTAAAAAATAGGATGATTCGTGCGCGGTTCTTTGATACTTATCGTATCGAGGATACATTGTTGAATCTAAGCTGAATGTAGGTTGAATTGAAAATTATATATCAATTTCATTTTGAATTCAAGAAGTTAAAGTTAATCTTTAAATGGATCTTTTTTAATCAAAATCAAAACTGGTCTAGAAAGTAATTTATGTTCAGTAATACCAAATTATTACTATTCCAGTAAAGGTTAAATTGTCGAGAATCGTCAGAACTGTAGAATTATCGTTGCCGAGCAATGCAAGGATTGCCTGATAATATAATGCATGCAAAATGTTCGCCTTTAAAATTTCTGTAATGCATCCGGGGCAAGAATTTATACAACGAGCCTATCCGAGAATTTTTCTAATATTATTCATTGAATCTTCTAAATTGCAAAATATTCTTCGTAAAAATTTCTTCGTTATGGAACTCCTAAGAATAAATCCCGTTCAGCCGTGTTGAGCATTCAACAGAAATGAAGGCTATTCAAAATGAATAACATTTTGTCGCCTCACTATGCTAGGGTAACTTGTGAAATGTGCTACACCCATCCAATCTTAAATAAGATTCTAATTGCTTCCTGCTCATTACCCCAACTTAATCTTAAAACTTAATCCTAAATAAGATTCTAATTGCTTCCTGCTCATGTACCCCAACTTAATCTTAAAACTTAATCTTAAATAAGATTCTAATTGCTTCCTGCTCATGTACCCCAACTCTCACTTATTCTCAACTTCCTACAGTTCCAAGATCAAAAGTTTCCAGGGGCACATCAGGACGGAGGCAGGCATCGCGGCGCTAGCTTCAGCGGCTGCGGCTTCAGCGTCCATACACATCAGGGTCGAGGCGCCGCTCAACCTCAGCGCACTGCACGGGAAATACGCTGAACTGCGTCAGTATTCTCAGCGGGAGAAGCCAGCACACGTCGTATTATTAACGTATTAGTTGAGCAGCCTGGTGCTTCGAAAGTCGCTCAAATATGAGAGTGAACCTCACACATTTTTTTCACATTTGGCTCCGAGAAACATTTATGTCATGCTATAGGTTAGTTATTTGTAGAGATTAGTTATTTTGATTATTGGGTGTCATTGAGATTTAAAACGCCTGAAGAATTCGCTGCTCCTACTGCTTCAAGCAATTTACGCTTAATATATCGCCTCTCTTATCTTATTTAAGTTCGAGGCGTCATCGCATGGATGCCATTTGCTTCTGAAGTTTTTCATTTATGAGAAGAAAAGATCCTGTCGTTTTAGCGTCTGAAATAACACAATTAGCTCCTGCTGTGAGAATGGCTTCACGACTCACGCTACTCTCTACTACTTGGATATAATTTTGTTCCTAAACTCGATTTAGCATTTTCAATCAACTGGTAGCAGTTATATCTTTTTTCGCAAGTAACTGTATATACATTAACCTGTAAATACATTAACATTAACAAGTAATTTACCTGGTATTTGTAAGCGGTTTTTTATTGGTAGAGTTTAAAGATCATCGTCACGAAAAATTTACCTGCCAGCGATTTAACGAAACGTTGGTTCCTACTCCTGTCACTGAAATTCATTGTACATCTCCTGCAAAAAGTCCTCTCAATATCGGGGTATATCCTAATATGCAAAACGTCCTCTCAATACAGTATGTTTAGGAAAAAAATTCACTTTGAATTTTCCAACCAAGGCATAAACCCATGGTCGCGCTCTATGAGGCATTTCTATCTAATTAAAATTCCCTTCACTACAAGCATTCACAGCTCATAAAATTAGGCAGAGTGTATTTCCCCCCCGTAAACAGTGCACACATGTTACGTATTATAGATGGACAAGGTAATTTCATGGCATATTTCCCCTACAGACGTTTGCACGCCCGTACTTGACACGGCTGTTGCAGCAGCGCCTCTACTAGCCCTGCCTTCTCCCGTGCTGCAGGTTCTCAGCCCCGGTGCTGGCACCTGGGAGGCCGTGGCCAGGACGGTGCTGACTTATGCACCAAGATGCAAGAAGTTAGTCCATTTGCGGCCTTGGCGTAACTAAAAATTTTGAGTTTCTGTGTCATTTTATGGTTTAATTGCCTGTCACAAAAATATGAATATCGGTAAATTACTAACATGAACATCAATTAGCATAATTCACCACAATGTTAAATGTTGGGCTAAAAAGTTTTCATAGTTAGTGGTAATCTTAAAAACATTGAAAGTTTTCGACTGTTACCGTTTTCATGACTTGTTGCGAAAATGTGAGAAGTGTTTGTGTAATAACTTGATGGATGTAAGCAACAACAAACTCCGCTGAGGCCGTGCGTAAGAAAGACTAATAAAAATAGTGCTTAGTCATGGGTACAGTTGCAGGAAAAAGGTTATGGGTCGGGTTTCGAAGGATGGATACCGTATTGGGATAGAGAACAAAAATCCTCGTTCTTCTTATGGTCCGAGTTTTTTTTAATATCAAACTAACTGTTTCATTAACCATCTAATTCCTGATCACAGGTTCTGGGCAATCGAACTGTGCCAGTCTGCGCTAAGCGAGGAGGAGGAGCGCCTGCTGCTGATGCTGCTACACGAGAGGCACATCAGGACGAACGATGCAGGCACTACACGCGCCGAGCCCCACGGGTATGGATGGAGGCAGGGCTCATCTAGCTATTCCTCCTTCTTATCTAATTAAACCTGTCCACAATAAGCATGTCACCCATTGCACGTTATCAACAATTATTTATACAACGGAATTGACAATTTGACTAATTAGGGGTAATTTATCCCCACTTTCCACATTTTTTAATGTGGAAAAGTGGACATTTTCTTCAAGTTGGACAAGAAATCCAACTTGACGTTTCGGTGGGGTAAGGAATCTGACTATACGTCCTGTGCGCATAGCGGTGCAAAAGACAGGTCTGGAATTATAGCATGTACTGTTTCCTGCTCGAGTCTTGTTGGCATCGACATGGCTCCGATGGCTTTCATTTCCTATCAACAGCGCACAACGAAGGCGACTCCGCCTCTGCGAAGATCCTCCGGCAAACTTCTCACCGTGACTTGCGCCTGGGGAGCAGAAGTGAGCGAAGGCATTCAGGCTGGGGGATGCCTACTTTAGTGGGACCCTCGCCGGTTAATAATAAAGTGGAAATATCGACCACAATGCCATACATTTAAATGATAGTTCATTTGTCTGTTGCTGACACACATGACGTATCTCTGGAGTGGAATTTAAGACGTCCAGATACTTGATGCCTGATTGTACTTTGTGAGACGCGAGATAAGAAATAGAGAGCATTCTGATGGTAAATGAAATGTGTACCATTATTATCGGCTAACCTAAAATTATTATCGGCTAACCTAAGAAAACTTCTAGCGCGATTTAATGCGCTGAATTTTTTAACCGCTATTATTATTGCGCTAACATCACCCTCAAGTGCCGTAAATGGTTGTTTATATGGTCTGCGATGGGTTTTAGCAAGCATGCCTATTCTTATAGTAACTGCTATGGCATAATATCGAATTTTAGGAAAGGAAATAAGTATTATAAACGTTACATTAGTTATTTCTAACTTAGTTTTAATATCACCTTTGAGTTGGCCTCATTTGACATGTTTTTTTTTGTCACTGTGTCTCGAGTAATACGCTGTTCAATTGATCCAGTTTACTAGTGTGTAAATAAATGAAGAAGGATATATAAAATGATAAAGTAAGAAGTGATCGTGAATATTAGATTTTAAATTATTCCATTAATTATCAGATGCCTTCCGTGCAGTAATCTGCAATGTTAGTTCATTTATATAACTAGATCTAAATTTGTGCTGTTTTGTGTTTGCAGTTATAGGCTCTTCCTTGACTTATTCACCTTAGAAACGTAAAAAGTGAAACCTAACGTAAAAGTCCTACGAAAACCCCATGCTTATAAGTTGAATATTTTTGTACATAAAATTAGATTCCTTTTCAGTTCTGTTTTATTACTCCTTTCTTTGATAGCACGAGTACTTTCCATTAAATTATACGTTAATTTCTGTGGGTAAATAACTTTTTTATCTTCAAATATATTCATTGAATGGGCACCGACACCATACTTTACAGGCTCTGCCTGTGTAAGTGGATACAGTTTGAAATGAAAAATAAGAAGAGATGGCAGAGGTGGCCAGGTCTGAGAAAAATGAAATTTAGATGAGTGGCAACACACGGGCTGCCCGGCAACACACGGGCTGCACGGCAACACACGGGCTGCACGGCAACACACGGGCTGCACGGCAACACACGGGCTGCAGAGAGGAGGCTGATGAAGGCAATGTTATTGGTAGCATTTCTACTCGCCGATTCTATGGAATCGGCAGCCAGGTCGCCGAATCTGTAGAATGAACATTTCTATACTGTAGGAATCTGGGGTTAGGTCAGTCAGCCAAGTTTTTTTCAATATTTAAATATAAAGGAACTTGACCTAACCTTTTCTAACTCTAACTATCTATTTATTTTCAAACTCTAACGTCCGATTTTCCATGGTGGAAATAATGCAAGGTTGACCCACGCGCAGCTGCGCCTTGCGGATGTCATTTGTTATTCCACTGTGACGGCACCTTGGCTCCTGTGACGTCACCTTGTGACGTAAAACTTATTTGTAACACCGGTTTTACTTAAAATAAGACTAGTTGCATGCAGGAAATATATTTTCTTGTGCCAGTTTGATGAGGTCAATTATTTTAAATGCTTTCAAAGATGACATAAAAACAATGTGTTGATCTACACTATTTACATATTGTGCCCACAGTGACGTCACTCTAGAGATGCGCAGAAGGGCGAAAAATCGTCATCGCCGGAGGTAAACCTTATATTAGTTTAATCTTGCGATTTTTTTGAATCAGCAACGAAATGCTGATTCTACACATTCGGCAAACTGGCGGCCGATACCATAGAATAGACAATTCCGCGATATCGGCACGACATATACAATTAATCGGTTAGTTTGCACTGCAAATGAGTCTGAACGCAGCGATTTACAGCCTAGTTTTATTTTAGTCCTTTTTGTTCAATCCTTCCTTATCAGTTCCTTTCTGTTCATGAGGAAAGTGTTGGCAGGGAGTTGAGTGGGTTAAATAATCTTAATGATGGTTGGTTTACAGATGCTCCTGACATTGTTGGAATGGTTATAATGTTAAGATGATGATAGAAGTTATGGCTCGCCAACTATGTTACGTAGAGTATTTGCGATGATCTGCGAGAATATCTTTCGACATTGTCAAGAATCTCTATATATGAAGTTATTCCGAACTGAAAAATTCAAAACACAGCATTACGACTCATCAACAAGACGCAATGGCCTGACTTCACTCCTACACAATAACTCCTGTTGAACTTTAATGCAGACATAATTGTACTTAATTACACCAGTACAATTGTCATATTGTCGTGACCCCGGAAATACTTGAGTTTAGGCACAACATTTTCTTTGATTGATTCTCTTCAACAAATGGGTAACTAATTAGATTTGCTCTTTCGTAATTTAGATCAATAAAGTAACGAGTAACGTTCATTTATTCAACATTTAACTTCACATCTACCATCAAATATGTCTCCTGAGTTGAAAACATTCTATGATGAACTGAATTCCTAATGGAGGCGAAACAACATCACCTAACGCGATATCATTAACGCAATTCAACGTTATTCGTAGTCTTGTACTTTGCTTCAAGTTCAACTTCCCATACAACTTTGAAATAAAAATTGTCTTTAATTCAAGGTACTGTTGTCGTACGTCAAACTTCATACCTGGATTTCGATTTGGAAGAAGTCATCACTCAATATTATCAATATTAAAAATGCCCCATCTCATTAACTCAGAGGACACATTAAATTTATCACTCACTCCCACTTGCAAAGAAGAGTAATTAGTAGCATATAGATTATGCCAGAATCCATTTATTATGATCCAGATTATGCCAAAATAATTTCAACGGTATTACAGTAAATATAGATGGCTGTAATTTCAAGCGTTCACGCCCAGCAGCCAGTGGCATTTGATTGCTGCATCCATGATCTTAACTTGTTACTTTTTGTATTATTATATTTTTGATAGGTCTCAGTTGATTATATGCCTTCCATGGCTACAAAATATATAACTATTTTAAACCTTTTTGGTGAGTCGCAGACGAGTGGCAGTCGCCAAATAAGTATTAGAACAAAAGTGGAAGTAAGCAATTAAATTTATATGTCACAAAGATGATAAGTAGTTCACTAATCGAAATTCATGCTTGGAGTTTGCTGTGCGACAAAGACATCGTAAATTTGTTAGATTTTTGTTTCAACATTTTATGAGTAGTTGAATCGAATAACAGGATTACAAACAACGTTGAATTGTGTTAATAACATCGCTTTGAGTTGGTGCCCATAAGTGGGCCAATATGGTTAGAGTTTAAAGAACCAAGATCTCTAGAGAAGAGAGAGAACCTCATAGAACCTCTAGAGAACCTCAGTCTACCAGTCCACAGCATAGACGTTTGCCTGACAGACAGGAAAACTTTCCAAGTCCAGTCGTCATCATTGTGCAGCTTCCCTTGGCCTGCATACAGGATGTTTGCCTTTGCAGCGGAGTCACTAATATCGACGCTTTTAACAACGGTATCAGCCGAAGGTATTTGCCCTCGTATCATGGATACGTTGTTGATCTTGATCATGTCAACGTAGAACCGCCTGTCACGGAGCGCATCACAATGGCTCTCTGTGGAGTTGAGTTTCCTGCCGAGGCACAACTCCAGCAGGTAGGACATCTGGGCCTCGAACATGACGGCAATCAGGCGGAAGCCAGGGATGGCTGCCGCCGCCTTGCTGGCGGCGAAGCCTTGCACTTGAGTGTCAAAACGGCGCTAAATCACACGATCTTCGGCCAATGGTTAACGAGCTCTGGATTCTTAGAAATATCTATGACATTAAAGAGCTTGTACGACTTTGATATTCCTTCTTTGAATATTATAAATTGTGGAGCTTAGCTCTGAAGAACGGAAAAGCTCGATAGACAAACTGACTATGAATGTTACGGTTAAATGAAGTTAATAATGGTCTAGTTGAAATGAGATGCAGAGGAATGTTATAGATGGATGGTGTTGGACATAGAGGGATGGTGTTGGACATAGAGGGATGATGTTGGACATAGAGGGATGATGTTGGACATAGATGGATGATGCTGTACGTAGATAGATGAAGTTGGACATAGAGGGATGATATTGAAAATATTCAGAGAAAAATGGTAATGTGCTCTGTCATTCATGTTAGTTACGAAAGAAATTTCACACCCGACATTCCAGAGAACGATTCTAGGGTGTCAAATTTTAATTTAAGAATATTACTGTATTTGTGTTACAAGTGCCGCCGAACACACAAACCGAAACAATTTCGAATTCAATGATAGCTTATGTGTTATTAAATGTGTTCCTAAATATATGGCATTTCCAGAAAGAAAGGAAAAGAAGAGGATTATTAACTCTAAATAAAAATGAGAACGTGCACATCGTCCATATACATACGTCTCTTGACGAAGTACGAAGCCCGGGGACGTCACTTGGGGTGTTATTGCAGACGTTNTCAGGCGGCAGTCGGGGATGGCCTCGCAGCCGCCTTGCTGGCGGCGAAGCCTTGCACTTGAGTGTCAAAACGGCGCTAAATCACACGATCTTCGGCCAATGGTTAACGAGCTCTGGATTCGTAGAAATATCTATGACATTAAAGAGCTGTGCGACTTTGATATCCCCTCTTTGAATATTATAAATTGTGCAGCTTAGCTCTGAAAAACGGAAAAGCTCGATAAACTGACTATGAATGTTACGGTCAAATGAAGTTAATAATGGTCTAGTTGAAATGAGATGCAGAGAAATGTTATAGATGGATGTTGTTGGACACAGAGGGATGATGTTGGACATAGATGGATGATGTTGGACATAGAGGGATGATGCTGGACATAGAGGGATGATATTGGACATAAAGGGATGATGTTGGACATAGAGGGATGATGTCGGACATAGAGGGATGATGTCGGACATCTCTAGCATTAGAGCTAGACATGTCGTATCTTTGATACAGGCATGCCCGCTTCTTAAAATCGACGAAAACGTGAAGTCACGGACGGTCAGACGGACAGACAGACAGACAGACGGACGGACATGGCGAGCACAATAGTGCATTTTTTCTATGGGAAAGTTTTTTCAAGAGAAAATGCGCTAAAAATGCTTATTACAAATTTGTAACTCTACTAAAACGCGCATGAAAACTTGCCACAAGCGATTTAATTTGTTTAAATACCAACATGAACCTACGTATTCGCTCGTTGATAGTACAGTATAGACTTAGTTATGAATTACAGCAATTTTTGTCAGACTACATACCTTTTTATTTATGCAATATGTTATGAAGATCTGTTCACAAATGGTCATCAAATGTCAATTAAATTTAGAATTTTTGGCTTAAAGAAAGAAATGAATCGTGACTCGAATAAAGGATTATTGCAGCTTTCGTTCTGTAAAAAGAAATTAAAAAGATGAAATAGTAAAATTTTAATATTAAATTACTCAGAATTTTAGATTTTATATGCCCTAGAATCTAGAAGATGGCAAATATTTATGGGCGACAATACTTGAAGTTTGCCTCAGTGTCAGAAGAACTTTCATCATCGATTTG